TTGACCCTAGCCTTCGGTCATTACACCATAAAATACAATAGCTACAAAGATCATCACATCATGAATAACATTTCCTATTACATATCCCTATAATCACAGTATTTTATATGTAACTGCCTCTCATACTTTCCATATCCACTCAACAATTTACGTCTAAACCAGTCCCCATCAATTCATGAAATGTTCGACAAATATCTATTGTTACACACCGATACTGACCGTAATAATACTTTGTATTTTCTATTTAACATTCATCGCTCATAATTATATACCTCTTCGGCTCGTACTGGGATATTCGGTGAACGAGACCGATGATGGACAGAAAGAAAAGAAAGTTCGAGTATCGCATCGGTTGAATGTTGAATAGTTATCGATCAATTCGTTGACGGACGCGTCGACAGGTGCTTTGGACGTAAAAGTACCACTACAACAAAGTGGGACAAGTGATAGTAAGGTAGACGACATACAATTTGGATGGTTTCACTGACCATTAATCAAAACCATGCTCTTAGCACTCATCTCATAATATGTATATGTTTTTATTAATATACATTAATAAGGCAAAATTTAGTCAAAGGGTTACTCTTACACCTACCTTCACTGTGTGAGAGAATGTAACAAAGATAAACTCCATACACAAACAAAAAGTAATAATAAGAAGAAAAAGAAAAGTAAGTAGACAAAGCGGAAAGATAAAGTGTTTACAATACTCACATACGAAAGTACAAGCCGACAAAGCGAAGTAATATGAAACAGGAGGAAAGAAAGTGATTCAACAGATGTACAATTTAAACAGTTCATATCACAGTACCTTTGCTCTAACCCATCAGCTGTTTCTTAATAAGTCTTCTGAAAGGTACTATGGTTTTACTGCGATAAATTGTATCAGTATAACTATATAACCTGACAGCATAAAAGGTAAATCTTTAGGAAAAGGGCTGAGTAGTCGACTGCCATCGCAAAATTAAGGTTATGTCTGAGATTTCACTGATTAGTGTTATCTCTTGGTACCTGCTTTTGCTTTTGTACGATGGCTTTTAGTGCGAACTACTTTATGAACAAGGGCCTTCAAAACATAAACAAACTGCGATTCCATCCCAACCATTTTAAATCTTGAATCTTTGAAGAGACTTGACTATATTTCCGAAGTCCAAATACAAACCTGCAGCAGCTGTTCTGAATTTTTAATTTGGCATAAGTACAACAGGGAACTCAAACGGATCAGGTTAGTCAAACAGGTTCATACAATTAGTCCATAGTTGTTTTTTTCCTGCCCTACCGGTAGTTACTGTCCATCTGGCAACGTTGACCCTTCCCACATCGGTACCGTAGCGCCCACCACGGACCTCGGTTGGCCGGGTGGGTCAGAGTGTGGTGCTACTGATCAGCCGGCCGGCCGGGCCGCGAGTTCGAATCTCGCCTTCGGAAATTACATTCCGAAGCCATGGATGTTGTGGCGTCATGTGTTAATACATATTTGTAAGAAACCTAGTGTCTGGCTGCATGGACTCCTAGTCCTAACGCCAAAAAAAAAAGCTCCCACCACGGCACATCTGCAGAAAGTAGTAGGGATGGATTAGTGAGTCAGACCGGCAGGCGGTGAGCTTAGATAGCAGGAGTATGCCGATTGAAAACATTTCTCTATTATCATTAAAGACTTTTACGGGAAAATCTATGATATGTGAAATATAATAATAATAATAATGAACGTATCTTTTATTTGTAATAATACAGGAGGCGAGATTCAGACACTATATTCAATCTACCACATAACCCCCTACATGTATAAAAACTGAACATTTGTAGACCGATTTTCAAAAATTATAGTCAGACAGACAGATAGACCGACGGAAATGAGTGACACGGTTTTTCATCATATATCATTCAAAAACCATATCTCATTTTCGAAATTTTTCGTTATTACTATAAATAAAATTGAAAAAAGTCCAAAGAAGAAGAGTTGTGAATATGTTCCTTTCATATTTTAGGTTTGAAGAACACTTTACTGACATTTCGGTTGCCATATTAGCGCTTTTCTTTTCGTCAATGTTCCAAACTATGGATGTCATGCCTTTCCACTTTAGGGTTTCTCAATTTAAATATATCCATTTTCTTCAACCGTTGTTGTAAGCGCAATAACTAACCAGAAGGCTTACTCAGGCAAAATTCCAGTGCAAACTACGTACAGATTCGGATTTATAATATTATCGCTTCTTTTCCGATAGTTCTGAATGGTCATTTATAGCAGACCATATCAGACATAATATCGTTGATTTGTATTGTTTTTTGCTAATACGAGTATAGTCTCTCTAGTAGTCAGAAATTGTGGGAAATAATCGACAAATTTGGCAAAAGGGTCGACTCGCTACCAACGTAAACAAACGTAAAATACTTTGTACAATGAGGCACAATACAGCAACACGACAATATGATGTTTATTAGGTGCTTAGTATGTAATCATATCGTCATTCGGTATTGAATTACGTCAATGTCAAGGGTATAAACACTTTTACAAAAACTCTGTGCTATATTTTATCACAGCCTGATAGTTTACTTCGGTATAGTCGCTCGTGGCATTATTTCCATCGGTTTATTACTGCTTTTCATTAATTCGCAAACAATTAATTTTTTATGGTCACACAATTTCATGAAATGATTCACGAAACGGCTAAATTTTAACCGTTTTTCGAGAATTACAAGAAGAACTGAATAGAAATTAGTGGAACCAAGCAGATTCACTCAGTACTCCTCTCACATTTGTGTCTATACCAACATGTTTACTCTTCCCATAAACGCCTGTTGAGAGAATCACATTTTGTAAGCTTCTTTACTCTCACATTGAGAAAATGCAGCTGAGAGACAATTTAGCTACATAGAAATTCTAATTATTGTTACCGATATGTGTAACTATTCAAAACGTGACTGATTTTTGAACAACATATACTTTTACTGCGGACTGAAATTATCAAAAAGTAGAAAAATGTCAAATAACAAATTTTTGCATTTTTCAGGTGCTGAACAAATTTTCACGTTTTCTTGTTTAAGTACTCAATCCAGGCGCTGGCCGCGTTGGCAAACAAAACCTCTTGCACATCGATTCTAAAAATAAAACAAAACAAAAGTGGTACACTCATACAGCAATCACGGAGTTTTTCATATTATTTTAATTTACTGTGTGTCTTCGAAATGCTACTGCGGCTTCACGACTGTATGCAGATCGTTTTTCAAGATCATTCGTGGTTTCTTTTTCGTTTTACTGCAAACAATACTTACAAGTGACAGAGCTGTACTTTATTTTCGATGAATTTTTTCATTTATTTTGTGTACTTTTTCGCTGTTGTTTTACCACACATTAGCTTTTTCATTACAAACGTAGCTGTTTCTGAAAAGGAAAGTCTCAATTTTCAGGACTGTATAATTGAGTACTTGAATAATGCTCAGGTCAATGCAGTCAACAGCGGTGAAAATACAGTCCGATCCCATGCCGCTGTGTCTATTGCAGCTCCGGTTATACAACTGCTCTATGTGCAGAGAATATGTGCTGTCGTGAGGGCGGGCAAATTCGAATCGCCTGACAAATATTAGCCAGAGTGCTTCTACTGGCCCGTAAGTTTATGTACTGTGATTGCAAGCAACGTAAACTCAGTTAATTGGGATAATTTCGGACATTGATTACGAATTGGTCATCAAAGGATGCTCAAGTGTCGCTAAGATCTATGTAAAGCAGGAAAAAGATACTTCTGTGACCTTTAGTCGATCTCATTGAAAGTGATGCACCCACTATAGAATTTATAATTGATGCAGTTCAAAGAAGGGACAAGTAGAGCCATTTTTTACAGTTTGCGTTCTGACGATCTTTTTGTATTAGCATGAATAAATAAACGAAATGAAATGAATAAAGGTGTATGCCACTAATAAGCTACACCAACAGAGCATTACCAACTCGCTCAAGGGTCAAGGTAAACTCCAAAGTCACCACTGTACTTCTTGTGCAAAGTTAACGAAGACCTGACCTTCAACTACTGTGGTTACACCCAGTAGGAACTGTTTTTGTTACTTGTGGATGCACTTGTTATATTGTTATATATATTGCCATTGTTTTTTTAATCGCCCTGTGGATTGCTCTTTTTTACTTCCCCTGCCCTGTAGTCTGCTATTGAATGACTACCTACGCAAGATTTTTACCTGGTTGAATTCAATCCACAAAAAAATGCTATATACGTACATCCAGAATACAACCCTATTTCCCAGAAGCTGTATTTAAAAATGTTCGAGCTTTCAATTTCGCCGACACAGCGTAGGTCGTGTGAAATGGGCGGGTGTAAAAAATGTGCAAAAAAGTGTCGAGAAAGAGTGAAAAAGCATATTTGAACCTGGACGCTGGTAAAAAAGATATTCCATTAATTTCGTGATTAAACCCAAAATAAACGTGAAAATTAATTATACCGCCGCTGCGTACACTGAGGCAACAGTTTAATTTTAATGTAGTTGCACGAGAGAATTTCTCTTTTGTGTTTAAGTTGGGAACAGGCGCCCAATGCGGCCATAGACGGCGTGGGTGGGACAATATTATAATAGTACATTGCTTACCTCAGTTGAGGAGTTATAAGAATAGCGTCAAGTAAGCGGACTTGGCACTTTCCACGCAACGCTGCATTTCACAGAAAATATGTTCGACACAATACTTACTTGCTAGTTGGCGTAAAACCAAAATCTGGTAATGAGCTAATACAACTTCGCTTTTGAACTTTTCAGACTCATTTCTCTGTTCATCTCTCCACTGTTTTTAGGTAATCTCCTTTGCAATGTGTAGATAGATACATACCTGCATGGGTATTACTTATCTTGATAACCACATCTTTTCGGTTTTTTTTTGACATTTCGTAGGTTTTTTGTGACATAACCCAGATTTTTCTATAAGATATTAACTTAGCATAAGCTGTTGTACACTTGTTGTGAACTCGCTTTGTAGCTGTACGTGTTGCTTCAACGTCAGCGAACAGCGATCATAACGAGCAATCGTGGAATGAACTATTTGCACACTACTACCTAATCTACAAGATGACATTTCGTCGGTTTTTTACGTTTTTTACATAATACCCCTGCCGGTCAGAATTTATGATCAGAAGAACTACAAAATCAGGTAAGAATGACTGAAGAAATTGTACGCAATTTGGCAATCTGACGGCACTACATGAAAATAGGTCGGAAATGTCAAAATGTATGGCAGATCTAGAAAAATATTGTCAGTTTAGAATCACCTTAATAAATGCGTTCAATACACACATTTGCTATTGAAAGAGAAATAATATAGATTTAAACTTTGGAGGGCAATTTTTCTCACTTCTCGTTCATATTTCGAATATGCATCCACGCTCAACATTTGATCCCTCAAAAATTTTACAATATTGATCAGGAGTCTCTGACACGTCAGAAGTAAAGTATGAGCGATTAGTATTCGTTTTTATTTATTTATTTATTTATATATTTTATTTACTAGTATATACACTGTCCGAACGGCTTATTGCACCATTTAACACAGGAATCAATTTTACGACAAAATTGTTCTAAAATAACTTAAAATTGCCAAATGACTTATGACTATGTGAAATCGTCTTAAGCTACGCAAATTACAAAAGAACAAATCTACAGCGTTTCTTGCACGTTCATAGTTGTTACATAGTACATACAGTACATATATCGGAGAGGACAGCAACACATTGGTTCTAGCTACGTTCAAGGCCCGTTTTTTGTACCTAATGCTAAGACGCGATCCAATTCAAAATACTTTTACTTAGGCCCGTATCGTCAGTCGTCCCTACAATTGTAGGGCGCGTTTATGGCCTCCTTGATTGTCATACTCGTTTCCCTCCTTCAAAAATTTCTAGATTACACTTGTCCCGTGTCTGCGTCAGCGCTATTGTGAAGATATGTTTTCATTTTAAATTGTAGGAAATTTTAGGCTGATAAAACATGATATAACTCAAAAGCAAGCACAATTTGATGCAAATAGATGTTTGTGACATAACCTCAAAATAGAAAACTATGACAATCAAGGAGGCCATAAAGGCGCCCTACAATTGTAGGGACGACTGACGATACGGGGCTAAGTAAAAGTATTTTGATTTGGATCGCGTCTTAGCATTAGGTACAAAAAATAAGAATCTTACCGAGTAAATATTCACAATCTATGGCATTATTAAGCATTTTATATAAAAATACACAAGCAGCGTAGTTTCTGCGCTTCTCCAAGTTACAGAGTTTATATCTGCTAAGTTGACATCATGCTTCAGGCCAACGTCTGGATACGTACCATCTTCCTTGTGCCACAAATATTTCACAAACCGCCTCTGAATACGTTCAATTTTATTCGAGTGAACTTCATGAACAGGATACCATATTATAGAGCAGTATTCAATTTTGGATCGAACAAATGAATTATATAACGAGATCATGGTATACACATTATTGAAATCCCTACAATTGCTGATAATGAAGCCCAAACTTTTATAGGCCTTGCTAACAACAGCATCAATATGCGAAACAAATATAAGTTTGGTATCAAAGGATATACCTAAGTCATGAAACTCTTCAGACAGGTTCAGTTGCGAATTATCAGTGTTATATATGAATCTGATTGGAACACGTTTGCGCGTAATAGACATAGTGTAGCATTTATCAGCATTAAGGTACAGCTTGTTACGGTGACACCAATTATTTAGGTTGCTCAAGTCGTTTTGCAATATATTACAGTTGTCCATGGTTTCAATTTTACAAAACATATTCAAGTCATCTGCATATAGAAGACAGCTACCGTGTAGCTCCCTAACGACGTCATCAATCAAAATTTGGAAAAGCAAAGGGCCAAGAGCAGAGCCTTGAGGTACGCCGGAAGAAGGTATAATCTGAGTGGAGTGGGATAGTCAAACCAACCATGATCAAAAATGTTTGTATACATTTTTCCTAAAAATAAAGGATAAACATTTGTTTCTGCCCGAAGCTCCATCGCCGCTGGCACAATTTTCAGAAACTGTTAAGCTTTTTCGTTCTTGACCTAGTATTAAAATTCCATCCGAGCGGTAGTTTCCAGGTTATACAGAGGCAAAGGATTAGCGGACAGACAGACAGATCGATGGGAAGCGGTGACATGTTTTTCGTGATAGACATATGATGTAATACCCAAAAAGTACATCATTATAGATTTTTTTGCGATCACAACTGGCGAAGCAAAAAAAGATATGAAGAATTATTTAGTTAGAAACAGGATAACTCTAAGATACACAATCAATAAAATACACAGCAATAAAACAGTAAGCCAAAACATTAGATACCTTAAGATTGGCACATTGCAAAAGAAAAGAACATAAATCAGTTATACGCACACTATGCAAAAACAAAGTCAAGTATGAATAAATTTGGGTAGCTGTTTTTTGAATCTATGAGGAGTTGAAAATTCTTTGGTCTACCTAGGCAATTTCTTGAAGGCATTAGAACCTTCAAAATATAGTGTATTCATAGCACTTTAGTAGGTTTAGAAATGTATATGTTCATGTTTTGTCTGGTTGGATAAAGATGAACATCACAAGCAAATTAAATCTAGGACCCATTCTTCGAACTATTTGCTTAGATAGCGCCATATGCGTTGGCTGAAATCATTACCCACTTACCCATTATCTAGATGTTTTTTTTTAAATGTCAGCGGTGTGTCTCTTACCAAATATCAGTTCTACCTTTGATGTTGTACACGTGTATGGAAGTTCGAGTCACTTACCGTATAAAATCAATAAAAACGAAAAACTACTACCGTTCCATAGCTTTTACATTGTATTGAAATATACGGTTGCTCGGATTTGTTTTGTAAACATAAAAATTAGTATATGGCAAATTCGTGTAGCATGAAAAATGAATTTTTACTTGGCAACAAATACCGCTAAAAACAATGTATGTAAACTGGAATAACAGCGAATGGTTATTTCCACTTGAACTGGTCGTTACGTTTATTTGTCCTGTTGGCGCTATTGTGAATAAAACGGCTGGTAGAAGTAAAATACATTGCTGCCTACGAGACTTTAACACGGCAAATAAATATCAGCGGATCATTTACTGACATTCAAAGGATATGTGAATTATTGCTAGTCTCCACTGTGCGCAGGCCTGTCAATAGAAATTCGAGTGTTCTATCGTGAATGTGCTAGAACGGTTTCAATCAGTTGTCACAATTTTAAATTAATAGATAACAGCAGTAACATTATTTATCTCCCTGCTCACTAGTTCACAAATCAATTTTACGTTTAACATGTAACTTTTTCCACTATATTTTTTTGTTATTCAACTGTGTATCTCATGTCGTTATTTTTCTTCTTAATGGAACAAAATGTTTGGTAGGTTTTAAGCATTTCATGTTATTGGGTGCGCATTTTCGTATGCTGGAAATAAATGTCTGTCTATCTACTCGTAATACCCCATATATTCAAGAGATAAAGCTCACCTCGTACTATTTCGTAATTCCTGGCGATGTTGACGTTGCGGTGTGAGTTGTTTTGCATAAAGTAATTAGGACAGTTTTGGTATACCTACGTTTCAGTCAAGTAAGAACTTTAATCAATAATAAATCACACATCTAGTTTGAGAGGTGCGTTACTACTGCGTGGGCACAATTTTTCGAAATACGCGCTTGGTATATCTACACGACTGCATTTGAAAACTGTTACACAGCGTACTCTGTACTATTCTGCAACAATGTTGGCGTTCGTAAATGTTTGACGTACCTGTTCCATGCGTTCGGAAATATAACAAAGTAATCCTTTTCTTTCCGTACTCAAAAGCTTGGGAAAATTTCACTATACCTAAACAGGCTACCTTGTATCCATTCCTTATAATAAATTCAATCGTGGTTAGAAATTAGTCTGATGTCATCAACTGTAACTGCAATAATTTAGGCGTTTTAAAAATAAAGTTTTACAGCTTTCCAGAGTGAAATTTCATCTGTCAGTCTCCATTCCCTTACCTTGTACGGTATTACGTTACAAAGTGCTTTACGAACGCACCCCAGAATGCATCGAAACACGAGTGCCAGTTGAACAGCAAACGGGAACACTCAGTCGGTCAGCGCCGACGCGCGTATTGAGGTACTCTACTTCTACTGTCGTCGGACGCATCTCATCTGAACGAGGTACTACAATATACAAAGGGTACTGTAAAAGCTTTGCAATATAGCTTTATTTATTGATTTTGTTCAAAGTAAGTTCGACCACATTCAATAAATACACTTCTCTATCCGCCAAAACTGGTGCTTAAATCAGCTCTGCCGCCCGGCATGGGTATCACATTATGCTAGACTTTTTTGACATTACGTAGGTTTTTCTACAAGATATTAACTTAGCACTCAGTTGTACGTGTTGCCTAAACGTCATGAGGCTTATTATCAATCTTTGGCTCTGATGTGATGTAAAATCTGCTTGTGAGATGGCATTACTGGAGGTCTAAGCTGTAAGTTGTAAGTGTTGATGATAATTTCGTTTGGTTCTTGTCTCAAATACACTTAATTGAGATTCAAAGCTAGAAATTAGTTGCGCATCCACTTTTTGTTATCCTTCTGGAAATTACATATACAAATTTGCTGAATTTCAAAAATGAGAGAGATAAGATATATTCACTGTACACTATCGAATTACAAGCCATATACTCGTACATGCTAACAGTGATTACACGCAATGTGGGCGCGTTGATCATTTCCCTTAATTCTCCTCAAGTTTTTCGTAATTGATAACTTTGAACATAACGTCTCTTTAAAAAGCACAACATAAAAATAACCCGTCGGGCACAGTCAATAGATATATATGTACTTCATTGGCAGCATATTCAGTAATGATTTTCACACAAAGCAAATATCACTGATTTTATACATATGCAGACCAATCCACATAATCACCCAGATGCGATCTTGCTATTCAACCAACTTTTTTCTCAGAGATAAAAACTACAGACAAGGACCATTTGGCCTCACAAAACATAATCAACCAATAATGCATGTAGTTTAGTTGAGAGATTCCTCCTTAGATGGACGTTCACAACGATCCTAGTGAGCAAACGTGGAATGACTGCACCCTAAAAACTACCTATTTTGCAAGATGACATCTTATAGGTTTTTTCTGACGATTTATATGTTTTATACATGATGTCCATGCGGGAATGTGGCACACTCGTTTTCCCAAGCCCTCAGAAGGTCCACATCGCTAGAAAACCGTTTTCCTTTTAGCTTCATTTTCTCATGCGGAAACAGTTCAATGTCGCAGGGAGCAAGATCTGGACTATAAGGAGGGTGCTCAATAAGTTTCAGTCCAGAAGTGGTCACATACTCGGTGCAGGCTTTGGCGCAAGGAGCTGGAGCGTTGTCATGGTGGAGGAACCAAGTGTCCATTCTTGACATTGGCCGCAGGTTTTTCATAGACTCTATGACTTTAGGCAGGCACTGTTCCGTGTACGACTCAGCTGTGACTGTCTTCTTTGTGTCCAAAACGACACGCTCCACAATCCCTCTCGATTTAACAAATACAGCTATCATTTTTTTCTTAACAGATCGGGATTTTCTGACAGCTACGGGTGTGTCTTCATTATTGAAGACCCAAACTTTGTTTCCTTTGTTTTGAACCTTGATCGGCACATCTTAATAATAGAGCCAAGTCTTGCCACCCTGTCACGATGCTGTTAAGATAGCGAGATTGCCCCTTATCAAACATTTTCACCATCTTTCGGTACCAAGTCGTACGACGAGTCTTCTGCTCTTCCGTCAGGCTATGCGGTACCCAGAGATCATAAAGTTTCCTCACGTGTAGATGGTTATGCAGAATTGAATGAATTCCTGGCGCATGAAGGTCTCCGCTATCTGTTGGTATGTCACACTCCGGTCTACGTTAAGCATTTTCCTCACAGCAGTAATGTTTTCCTGTGTTACTAACGCGGCCTTCTTTCCCTCTCAGCGTCCTCCAGAGTAAATTGCCGATTCGGAATTCTCTGTACCACCTAAATATAGTCGCACGATAAGGACAATCATTCTTTAATGCAAGCAACATTTCTTCTAAGCACTGGTCTAAGCTTAAGCCACGCCTAAAGTTATACCGTAAAACTGCCTTTATCTCACAATGCCATGGTCCGCACTTTACACAGTCAATATGCATCAACAGTTGTGCTGCTGGCGGCTACTATACACTCATGGACATGTCTCAACATGCAGTAACACGCAGCCTCCTGCGTCCGTTTGTTAAGTCATATTGCAAAACTTTTATAGTACCCTTTTTATATCACAAAATATTTGATTTTATGATCAGAACCTAAACTAAGGAATACAACAGACAGCCGATTTGGTTTGGACTGGTGCATCCATGTGGAATACAAATGTTTCATTTTTGTTATCATTAAGTGTTTTTGTTTGTTGTTTTTATGACGCTTATTTGGGGTGTTCAAGGAGGAGAACTATATGATTAGCTATAATCATAATTACTTATTTCTCAATTGTCCTAAAATATTTCGAATTTCATTTGTCAAACTAACACAATGAAATTGAGAGCATACACTTCCAAATTACATTATTATTATAACGCTGTCGTAACTGGAACTTTGAGCAACAATTATTAGAGACATTCCTAACGTCGATCCTCAGGCAACCAGAATTATGAGAACGTTCGTACACGATGCAAAAACACCGAAAGCCATCTAGTAAGTTGCGATGAAGGCTCGAGTTCTGCCTGAAATGCTTCTGGAATTCGTCTGTTCCGGGATAAATACGCGTACCGAGAGCAGCGTGAAACGCTATAGTCCAGTCGACATAGTCATACATTTGTCATAAATTAGTTGCAAGTGCTGTAATAAATGAGTGTGGGAGTAACTATTTAAAGTGTAAA